GGTCTCACGGGGCTAAAATCAAGGTGTCCACTGCGTTCAATCCTGGCTGCTGTAGGGGACAGATCTGTTCTTGCCTTTTCTGGCTTCTAGAAGCTGCCTGCACCCCTTGGCCCATGACGCCTTCCTCATCTTCAAAGCCAGCAAGGGCTGGTTGAGTCTTTGACTCACATCTCCCTCTGCCTCTCACCTTAAGGACCCTTGTGATGACAGCGGACCCGCTGAGATCAGCCAGGACAGTCTCCCCACGTCAAAAACCGTAGTTGCCTCTGCAAAGTTCCACGTGCCGTATAAGGGGAATAGTCACCGTTTCTGAGGATGAGGACGTGGACAGCTTTGGGGGACCGTTGTTCAGCTGGCCATGCCCACAGTAGCAGATGGGGACCCTGTGCCCCTGATGAGTCTCCAAAGCCATGTGGGCTGAGAGGTGCCAGAACTGGGCTGGGGGCCCATCTGACACTCTTCGGAGGAGGGGGCCCCCAGCCCACACTCCCCGCCGTTCATTCACACTGGCCTGGGTCCCCGGGCTTGGTGCCGAGGGGTTTGGAGGAGGGAAGGGAAGTGGCCACCCCGGGCGCCTAGATTTCTGTCCTAGTCACTGTTCTGACAGAATTAGCCAGTTTGGACGGAGGCCCTTGGAGATGAGCCTTCTAGATGGTTTTATCTCATTGTTTCTGACAATCCTCTTTGGGGCTGGTTTACAACAAGGATCGTCCACTTACCGTGTCATCCTGGCCAGGAGGCTCACTGTGTCACGCGGGACATGGGGTCAAAGGTCAGAACTGTATGAATGACCTGTCTGGGGTCAGGGCTGAAGAGACCTCTGTATCGGCCTGCAGACAAAGTGAGACATTTCTGGGCCTTGTTCTTCTTGGAGAAATGTGATCTTTTAGCAGAGAGAGATATGGAGGTGTGTGTGTGTGTGTGTGTGTGCGCGCGCGCACGCGCGCGCACGTACTGCCCCAGGAGCTAGAGAAGTACTCACTATATCCTGAAGCCACTGAAACACCTCCTGACCTCCAGACTGACTCTGCTACCGAGGCCAGCGGGCCTCATTAATCTTCGTTGCCATAGCAATGACATTATGGCTACCATTTACTGAGGGCATGTGACGTGCTGGGGTCTGAAAGTTATGGAGCCAAAGATGGGGGTCAGGAGCATCAGCTCTGAAGCCAGGCTGCCTGCGTTCAAATCCCAGCCCTACTTAACCTCTCTGAGCCTCAGTTTCCTTATCTGTAAAATGTGGCTGAGCCAAGACTTGATTAAATCCAAGATGCTGTCAGTTACAACATGCACGTTGTATTCACGTACTACAAAGAGAGAAATACAGTGCCAACAGAACTGTTACCTGTCCATCAATCAGACACATTCTGATTTCGGAGATGTTAAACTTCAAGGAAATATGCATCTTGGAATCCATGGAATACAGCAAGGGTACCCACCATTTGGGGGAGGGGGGCTCTCGTGCTTAGTACCTGTACCTGTGCTTAGTACCCCGGTACCTGGCACATAACAAGGGCTCAGACACATTAACTGGAATTATTACTATTACTCCCATTTTACAGATGAGGAAACTGAGGTCGGAGTCCCTTCCCGAGGTCACCCCGTAAGTAGTAAATGAGAGAGTCGGATTTGGATTCACTTGGCTGCGTGTCTCTTAAATGGCCCCCAAATCATGTCCAGCACCCACACCAAAGAGGAGATGAGAGAAAGATCAGGACTGGGCTGATCCCATGTCTGTGTGTCCGTGAGCAGGTCCTCTGCCCCTCTGGGTCTCCGTATCCTCGTCTGTAGAAATGGGGCCACAATATGGCTCCTGCAAGTTGCTGTGAGGGTTGTAACCCTTCATCCTCTCCTTTGCCTTTCCCACCTCCCATGCTGCAAATGGCTTTTGGGCACCAGTGTTAGCCACAGAAGCCCCAAGCTCAGAACAGTTGCCAAAGACACTTGGACTGACTTGTCTGGAGTATCTGAGCCTCTTCCGCCCTGGATACCTGCCCGATGCCTGCTCCTGCTTCGAGCTCAGCCTTCGCCCCGCACCTGCTCTCCAGCTCAGCCCCGGATAAATACCTAATTCCTCTGTAGACTCTGCCCCTTGGGACTGCGTGAAGCGCTTAGAGATGGATACCTGGGGTATCGGTGTTGGTTTAGATTTTCTTTTAAATTTCAACACGTGGCATTTTGTTTACAGCAGACTTTTTTGGCAATTTGTTTACAGCAGACTTTTTTGAGTATAACATCTGGCCAAGTGTCCAGATCCTGAGAGCACAACCTGATGAATTTCCACTCAATTCACACTCATGTGCCAGCCAGCACCCAAATCAAAACATTGCCTGCACCCCGCCCACCCCCCCGACCCCCCGACCCCCCGCCACATTGGACCCCTCACGCCCTTTCCAGCCTCCCCGGCCCCCAAGGGTCACCACTACACTGACTTCTAGCACATGGGTCAGTTTTGTCTGGTTTTGCACTTTGTGTAAATAGAGTCACTCGGTGCGAGTCTTGAGTCGTCTTTGTTTAACACTGTGTTTATGAACGTCACGTTTTTTGCAGTTAGCAGTAATTCGCTGATTGTTATCCAGTACGTTATGAATATATGCTGTTATCTGGCTCTGTCGCAATCAATCCATCTTTCTGTCGATGAACATTTGGATTGGTTCCAGTGCGGGGCTATTATGAATGGGCTGCTATTAACGTTCTCGTACCTTCTGGCATGTCTGTGGGTGAATGTGAGTACGCATGCCTGTTGGCTATATATACTCAGGGAAGGAACCGCTGATCGTGGGGTGTTTGTATATTTCACTTTGGTAGACGTGCCAGGCTGTGGTCGTGCGAATTTACATCCCACCAGTCGCTGGAGGTACTCCAGCAGCCCCAGAAACCACAGGGTAGCGAGAGAAGCAAAGATTTTCGCAGCTGCTCCCAGAGAGGAAGTTGGGAGCAGGGAAGGAAATGGAATGGGTGTTTGAAGCCTGAGACTTGCACACAGTTACCCCGGGAAGGAGAGTCTGGGAGTCTTGAAGCCTGTTGCAATTATTTGCTCTGCCGTCTGCAGCGGGAACAGTATTTTCTGGGCTCTGTCCTGTAATGAGTGTAGGTGGCTGTTCAAGAACCGAGTATCCAGGGGAGGGGGTCCACCCACGGTCTCCGCCAATCCCCCATATTTAAATGTCAGTGTGACTTAATTGGCTGCACAGCCCGCCTCTCTCCCCCTCTCCTGCAGTAGCCACAGCAAACGTACCCCCCCAGGACAGCAACAACAGGGGACAGACTTGAGTCACCGTGGCTGCCTCCCACCAGCTTACGGGGCGACCTCGGACGGATGAATCAGACCCCCTGGGCGTCAGCTACGCTGAGAATCTCACTAAGAAATGAGTCTTAGTGAAAGGTCACAGGTAGCGTTTTGGACGGGTATGTGGGTGGATGGGTAGATACGTGGCCAGGTAGACAGGTAGGAATACAATGGATGGACAAGCAGATGTCGTATGCGTATGAATATAGAGCACATATTTACACAAGTGTGCGTACACATTTGGCATTTTATTGATCACTTACTACCTCGCCTAACAGCCAGCGTTTCATGAGTAGGGTACTTACTGTGCACTGGGCGTGGAGAGATGCCCACACCTTTACACACCTGATTTCATGGGGTTCTCCTAACCACCTCGTAAGGCCGGAACTATTGACTCCATTTTACAGATAGTGAAAGTGAGGCTCAGAGAGGTTAACTCACCTGCCCAGGGTCACACAGCTACTCACTGATGCCACCAGGATTCTAACCCACAAATTCTCACCACGATGCTATACTTCCCACCAGGTGCCAGGCACGGCACTCGGTTCCTTCTCTCACTCAGTCCTCGTAGTGACGCTACAAGGTAGGTATCACTCATTCTCTTTGCTAGTTGAGGAATCCGAGGCCCAGAGGGGTTAAGTAACCCACCCAAAGACACACAGTAAGGAGCAGAGCTGGGATCTAGCTTCCACTGCACAATCTCAGCCAAGTGTAGCGCATAACAAGGGCTCGAAAAATACTGAAGGAAGGGCTGAGAGTATTTTAGCAATGAAATCATAGATGAAAAGAAAAATGCAAGCCATCAGTTTTGACAGAAGATGGAACATGAACTTCCCTAATGCCATTCCTTCCTTTTCCAGCCGACACTTGCTCCTCTGAGCTAGATTTGGCGCTAGAGGCAGGGAATGCTGTGGTAAATATAGACTTCATTCATTTATTCATTCACTCATTCATTCTTTCCCTCATTCGGTGAGCACGTATTGAGTGCCTGCTGTGTGTGTGCCGGGAACGGAGCTCACCATAGAAGGGACGGATGGATGAGCAAGCAGGCAACTCAATGAAAAGGTGTCACTGTCGCTGCACTAACGTCCTTTTCCGTCTTGTCATTTGTCTTAAACCACTGGTCCTCAAAATGAACTCAGTGAGTCTGAACATAGTTTAAAAAACCCTCTAGACGGGCGTCTGGTTTGGGGGACAGGGTATCCGTGTTTACACACAACCATCTAAGGGCTCGAATGCGTCATTGGCTGATGGTCCTTGGTGGATATGAGCCACCATCTTGCTGGTGTTTCATCACTGTCCCCACCGCCCACCTCAGCAGCTTCTGGCGAGTGGGAGCAGCTGGCACAGGTGGCTGGCAGAGTGCTGAGTGGCGTCTCAGGACCCCAGAAGTTACTGGTTCATGCACAGCTTTCCTTCTATGCAACCCTGGGACGGAGGGAACGTGGCAAGCCTGCCTCTGGACTGGGTTAGTTTCTGCGGGCGTCCTGAGATGCTGGCGGTGGGGGTGTCGGTGAAGACCCCGAAGAACCCCAAAGAATGTGCTCCCAGGTCTGCATCCCAGAGCCAGATCTGAGGTCCATTCACAGGCTTGTTCTCCAACAGGCATCCTAGTGGCACATCCACTATTATTTGTCACATCGGACAACTGCCATGGGTCACTCTCATCTGAACAAGTGCCAATAATGTGTCCTCTCCTTTTGCTTTTCAGCCTGTGTAAGGGACGGACTCTCTACTCTGTGGTGAGGGACGCCAAAATCGTCTTGGATGTCAACAAAACGAGGCAGATTGCCCAAGAAATTGTGAAGGTACCACAGGGAGGGACTCCCTCCCGAGAGATGCAGGGTCTGGCTTCAGACCAGCAGTCTGGATTTAAAAAAAAAAAATTAGACTTGCCCTGAAAAATACCACGCTGTATGTGAGTAAGAGTTTTGCCCAGATACCACCATTAGGGATGGTCTCCCGATGTCTGGCTTCTGTCTGGTGCCTCATCATCATGATAATTGGGCACGTAGGGTACCAGGAGAAGAAGCTTGTGTTGTTAGAATCCCTTACCCCTCGGATGCTTGAATTCCCATGAGTGGAAGCCCTCTGTCTCTGTCTCTCTCTGACTCTCTCTCTCTCTGCAGCTGCCGGGGAAACATCCAGTTGTTGGGACTGTTGTTTGGGCTTAAAACAAACTGGAACATCCTGTGTTTTCTGGCAGGTGCCTCGTTAGTCAGTTGACTGGGACTTTCATTTCCCATTGGAAGTGTTAGGACTGAGCTGTTAGAAGAGATAAAATGTGACTGCTCATAAAGGCAAAACAAAACAAAACAAAAAAAAAAAAACAACAACACACACACACAAACAAGAATCTCGACACTTACCCTTGAGCTAGCTTCTCCTCCATGGTCTGGATCACTGGATCATGATCTGTCCCTTGAGGAATGTGGTGCCTTCAGCGCTGATATGGGTTAAGTAGCTATAAAACAAATGTCCTGCCGAGGGGTTATTTTTTTCAAAGAGGAAGTGCGGGGAGGTGGTTGATGGCATCCCTCAGCTTACTCTGGGGACCACCTCTCTGGTTCGTCTTCAGTTTTTCTCCCGCTAGGGATGTCTTCCTCTGGGGCTTCTTCCGGAAGCTTCAGAGCCAGGTGGGAACAGTTTGGCCGTAGTCTGAGGGCAGTGGCAGAGGCGTGCCTTGAGGACCCTGCCCGGTCCCGCACAGCCCCACCTGCAAGCCTGTGCGTTTGGGCCCCAAGCAGTGCAGCTGTTCAGGGTGCTCTTGAACCCGAGCCAGGGTAGCGGCGAGCGCTCCGTGTTCCCTGACGACATCCCGTTTCCTGGCTCCTTCCAGGGCATGGGCTACCTGCACGCAAAGGGGATCCTTCACAAGGACCTCAAGTCAAAGAATGTCTTCTACGACAACGGGAAAGTGGTGATCACAGACTTCGGGCTCTTCAGCATTTCCGGGGTGCTGCAGGCCGGCAGGTGAGCGGCGGTGGAAGGGCACAGAGGGGTCCTTGACGGATGACAGTCGGGGAGTGAGAAGTCACCCGAATGGCTTCAGGGGACCTAGACCGGGTGTTGGGCCTGAGGTCGCTTGGCTGAGCGGCGAGGCTGTTGCTAATGCCAGGTCACATTGTGATTCCCTTGGGACCTGTCTTGCGAGCGGTGCCTTTAAGTGCACGTGGGTTACTGGGCACGGAGCACCCCCAAGCCCTGAAAGCCCTTGCCCTTGAGCCTAAAAGGGAGACTCCCCCTTTGCCTGGAAGACCCGCCTGGCAGGCGGCCTCACCCAAGAGCCCTTGCTGCACGTTTTCTTGGGCATTCCTACATGTTAGGACAACATGAGTGTCAGTTAAGGGATTTAGAGTGAGACCCACCTGTGGCCCCACTTGATCGTGACTTCGGTTCCCTGAACTTGAGTTTCCTTGTCTGCAAGAAAAATGATGGGTCTGATCATGCCTACCTCATAGGACTCTTGTGTGGATGAACTAACACAATCAAGCGTCCTGCACCTTGCGGGAGCACAGAAAACACTACGGAGTAGCTGCTGCTGAGCTGTTGTAATTACGATTAATTTGCATATACCTCCCCCCAGGGTCACCCGGGAGAATCATTAACCATCCTTAAGTAATTAACTCTCAGGAGCCACTCACCCGCCCGAGGGCAAGCTGCCTCCAGTTGACCGGGAGAAACAGCTTGATTCCAAATAAACAACCCATGATTCAGAAGGTCTGCCCTCTGTGACTTTTCATTTGGAGCCTGAGCCACACGCTCGCAAACTTAAAAACCCTGCGGTTCTCTCTAATCACCCCTCTTCTATGCAGCTTCACTCACACTCTCCTTTTACTTCCGTTTCAGTGGCTTTGGAGAACCACTGATCTCTTTGAGGGTGACACCCCAGCCCCCCCCCACGCCCAAAGTGAATTTCGTTCATGCTATATAATACCTATAATATCGAAGAGCATCCCCAAATCAGCAAAACTTGATCTGCCTGCTTCTGTGTGATCTAGAAACAGAGCGCAACAGAAGCCGAAGTTGCTCTTTAGATTTTACTCCGCCCAAAAAGATTCCGTGCAGTCTCCAAAACTATCTATAGCACCTGAGCTAAGAAAAGAAGTAGGTAAATGAGCAGATAGATCAATGGGTAGATAAATGGAGAGTGTCCCTCAAGTTAGGACAGGAGGGCTGACTTGTGCAAATTCCTTCTTCCCTCTGTCTCCCCAGCAGCGCTCACTTGCGCATTTGCTGGTGGAGGGATTGCATGCACGCGCGTGCGCGCGCGCGCACGCACACACACACACACACACACACACACACACACACATATTCATCCATCACTCCAGGCTGAGGGGCTGAGAAAGCAATTGGTAACAACACTATGCACTCAGGTATTTGGGTCCAGACAAAAAGAGGCCCAGCAGATGTTTTCCTTATCAGACTTCAAGGCTCTTTAAAACCCAGTGCCTGGGGCACCTGGGTGGCTCAGTCGGTTAAGCGTCCAACTTGGGCTCAGGTCATGATCTCGTGGTCTGTGAGTTCGAGCCCCACATAGGGCTCTGTGTTGACAGTGCAGTGCCCATTTCGGATCCTCCCTCTCTCTCTCTCTGCCCCTCCCTACCCCTCCCTCCTGCTCTCAAAAATAAATAAACATTAAAACAAGAAAACAATTCCTCCCTCCTGGAGGCATGTCCACACTCTCTCTCTTTCTCCTTGCCTGTGTATTCTCTCACCGGTGGAGGAAAAGGGGACAGGGCCTCTGATTTTCTTCCTTTTAATTCTTGGTCTGCTGAAGCCCCAGGGTAACAAGGAAGAAAGGAAATGGAATGACGTGGGCTTCCTTTCCTTTCCCTCATCCTTAGAGGCCCCCTGTCAACCAGGAGGCAAGTTCAAGTCAAGGGCAAGGCGGCGGCTGGCCTGATTGTGTCAACACAAACCTGGGTAGTGTTGGGAGAGGCCAGGGGGCCCCCAGCGACCTCTCCCAGAGGAAATCCACATTTCACAGCTGCCCACCTGTCACCACGGGGTTTCTCCTGTGCTTATCTCCCCGTTCCAGTTGTGTGCAGGGCTTAGTTTAGTGCAGGGCTTCAGTTTGCTCCGTAAGAGTGCTATTTCTCCAGGAATTACTGTAAAATTGTGGTTGGGAGTCTCTGGAGTGACTGCGTCCACGGCTTTGGGCAGGTCACTGAAGTGCTTGGAAGCTCTGTGCTCTCATCCACAGAGCAGGGATTTTATTCATCCTGTCGTGGGTTTGCGGGGATTAAGTGGGATGGACAGCCTGGCACACAGTAGGCACTCAGCGGGGTTACTTGCTGTCCTGCCCTCCCTTCAGAGCTTGGGTCGATCACAATGCTGGCTTCCCAGCAGGGGGAGATCTGCCGGCCCTGGGCAGGGGTGGGGGTCACCCAGGGAAGTGAGCATGTCCTGAACATCCAGCCAGACCCCAGGGCTTCCCCCAGACCTGTCCCCAGCGTTGCGTGCTTACAGCTGTTCTGCCATCATTGAGAAAAGGTGTCATTTTCGGTGCCAGCCACGATCATGCCGGCCACGTGCAGACAATTATTAATCAGTAATAACCATCATGGAGATGACTTGAGTTTGTCACCCGGTGGGCCCATCCCCATGGGAACAGGACAGCCTGGAGTGGCTGGGCCAGACCTGGGGTCCAGCCCCCTCCCAGGTGTGTGCCCACGCCCACCCCAAGCTGAGGGTTAGGGAGTGGCCAGCACCCCTCCTCCTGACCCTGCTCGCAGTTCCAAACCTGCACTGAGCCAGTGAGTCTAGAATAGGCAGCAGGGACTGTTGGAAAGAGATCAGAACGGAGACGCTCTCCCTTCTCGCAGCAGCAGCCCCCCCCCCCCCCCCCCCCCCGCACCCCCAGTGGCCTGGTCCTACCTGGAGAGTGTCGGCTGGCCCGGGCCACCGCCCTTCCTTCAAGGGTGATGTTCTTTGTGCTCTAGTCTCAGCCCCGTCTCGGAGTCCTCAAGATGGACAAGTTAATTACTTTGAAATGATGTGCCCATTGTGCAGATGGGAGAGTGGAGACTCAGGCCTGCTCAGGGTCACATGGCTAGTCAGCAGCAGGTAGGTCCTTCAGTTACCGCAGGCATCCCCATTTCTGGAAGCAAGAACTCACTGGGACCTGCCAACTCGAGGGCTTGCCAGTGTGTTTCAGTCTTGCTTTCCAGCAGAGGATGTGTTCTAATAGGTCTGCTGTGCAGAGTAAGTCCTGTGTTACTGATGCCAAAAGGGAATTTGGACCATCTCCTTATTTTATGTATAAATTAGAGCGGTGACTCTCAACCTGGGGCTCTCCCGCCCCCCTGGGATATTTGTGATGTCTGGAGACATTTTTAGTTATCACAACAGGGGAAGAGATGTACTGGGGGAGCGGCCAGGGATCCTACAGTGCACAGGATAGCCTCCACCACAAAGAATTATCCAGCCCCCAAACTCCTGGAGCCTTGCTTGTCAGGGGTCCTTGTGGACCCCAGTGTGTGGTCCACAAGATAGCTTTAAGGAGGACGTGTATAAGCCTTTTTCATCTTAATTTTCATGCGTACTAAAAAAAAGTGCTAGTCTCCATTTATGGTCATGTTAAGAAGTAAATGAAAACAAAAAACCCATTTGTAGTAAATAATAGTCTAGAGCAGCACTGTCCAATACCCCCCCGGGCCATGTAGAGCAATGGAATTTTAACTTTAATTAAAATTAAATAAAATTAAATGTTCAGTTATTTAGCGTCACTAGCTGATTTCAAGTGCCCAGTAGCCATGATGGCTAGTGGCTGCCATATTGGATAGCACAGACAGAGAACATTTCCATCATCATGGAAAGCTCTATTGGGTATGGCTGCTAATAGAAGGTGTTCAGGTAGGGCAAGAATCATGATCATGGGATATGAATGAGTGCAGTCCAGGGAAGTACATCACGCCTGACATAGCTCAGAAGCCACCCTAGGAGAACTGTAGAATCCAGCCGGCCCCAGGTCCCCACATTTGGAGGCTCTGGACCGTCACAACCTCACTCTTGATGGTTGGAGACATCCATGCACCTCTCCCTTCGCTGTCCACTGGCCCTTCCCTGGGAGTCTTGAACCAGTGGAAATCTTGTAGGAGGTCTGTTCAGATTTCAGTCCCAAATGGAAAGGTCTGTACCTACTTACAATGTGAAGAAGGCAGCCAGCATATTTCCTCCTCCAGGAATTTATCTTGAGGAATAATCATAGATCTGAGTGGGAATATATTCCCAGTACCTACCTAAAGAGGTTCCTCACAGCATTGCTCATAATGATGGAAGGGGCAGGAGCTACCTAAGGCCCATCAACCAGGGGTTGGCTGTATACATTTTTTTTTTTAAGTTTTTTATTTATTTTTGGGACAGAGAGAGACAGAGCATGAACGGGGGAGGGGCAGAGAGAGAGGGAGACACAGAATCGGAAACAGGCTCCAGGCTCTGAGCCATCAGCCCAGAGCCCGACGCGGGGCTCGAACTCACGGACCACGAGATCGTGACCTGGCTGAAGTCGGACGCTCAACCAACTGCGCCACCCAGGCGCCCCTGGCTGTATACATTTTAAGAAACACATAGGATAGCATGATAACGTGCCAGTTACACACACCTTCTTTAAGTTTCTAGAACACCCCAAACAGGGCTTTCCTTACACCTTTGTCCTAACTTCCCCTTCTGCCTAGAATATTCTTCTCCTTATTCATATGGCTGGATCCTTTATGTCCTATCTTAGCTCACATTTTACCTAAAGTAAGTTCCCTCTTATCTTTAACACATTCCCCTGTTTAATTTTTTTTTTTTTTTTTTGCATAATGCTTATCACTATCTGTGTTTTTCCTATTTATTTAATTCATCTGCCATCACCTTCTCCTACCAAAGCGGAGGCTCCAGGAGGGCAGGGACCTTGCTGGACTCCCTCACCGCTATGCTCCCGGTGCCACAAACACAGAGTTTAGGCATAGTGGGTTCTCCATAAATACAGTCGATCCTCCTCATTTGTGCATTCCAGATTTGCGAATCTGCCTCCTCACATCTGTTTGCACCCCAAAAATCAATCCGCACATTTGCAATCATTCATGGGCATGCACAGGGTGGTGAAAATTTGAGTCACCTGATGCATGTGTTCCCAGCTGAGGTCAAACAAGGGGACACTCTGCGATCTTGCCTCAGCTCTTGTTCAGAGATGACCAGGGGACAGAGATGGGAGGGGGCTGTGCAGCGCAGGGCAGGAAGCCCTGCCCCCCCCCCCCCGGGCCAGTTGGACAGAGCTTTGCAACTCTGGCATCTCCTTGTGGGGCAGCCTCAGACACATCACTCAACGCTTCTGAGCCTTGTTTTCCTCTTCTGTAAGATAATGAAAATCGAACGTACTAGGATGAGTTGCTTTTAGGATTAAAGATTACAATCTGTGTGAGCTGTGCGTGTGAAGACATATTTCCTCTAGGAGCAATGATTCCATATTTGCTAACTCACTATTTGCAGAGACTTTATAAAACATAACTGCCATGGATAACAAGACTCAGCTGTCGTTGTTGAATGAATATGTAGAAGGGGGTGCCTCAGAAGTAGAGGGACCCGATGATGGTTTGGGTGTTGGGTGTCTCTCTCCAGGCCAGTCTTCCCTGTCCCTTCCACTGGGTCTCAGCCTCAAGTACAAGGTCAGACAGTGCCCAGCAGTGTGTGGCGGGGGGGCGGCGGCCCACGGGACAGAGATGGTCCAAAGACCCAGGGTCAGTGCTGGGGGGCTGGTCCTCCCTGGGCTGTGAAACGGGGCTCACTCTGTGTTTTGCTTCTCCAGGCGAGAGGATAAACTCCGCATCCAGAATGGCTGGCTGTGCCACCTGGCACCAGAGATCATCCGCCAGCTGTCCCCCGACACAGAGGAGGACAAGCTCCCCTTCTCCAAGCACTCAGATGTCTTTGCACTCGGGTAGGTGGCCCACCCAGGCAGAGGGACATTTCCCAAGCCTTTCTTCCACAGCTCTTGGAAGAGACGGGCTACTTATCTTCTGGGGCCAAGGTGGTTAGGTTTCTGGCTGAGTTTGGGGGTATCCAAGTGGGGTGTGGCAGAGGGATGACCCTAGCAAACCTTCATGCCTGGTTTCTAACCATGTGACCATGGCAAGTTGCTTGACCCATTCATTCATTCACTGAAGCAATAACCACAGAATATCTATGGAATACCTACTGTTAACAAGTATTCAAAACTTAGGGAATTAAAGAAGCATATATCATCTCAAGTTTCTGGGGTCAGGAATTTGAGGGTGACTTAGTTGAGTGGTTCTGAGCTGGTTCAGAATTTCTCATAAGGTTGTGGTCTAGATGTTGGCTAGAGCTGTGGTCTCATCTGAAGGCTCAATGGGCTGATGATCCACTTCCAAGGTGGCCCACCCACATGGCTGTTGGCAGGAGGCCTCAGTTCCTTGCCCTGTGGGCATTTCTTTAGGCTGCTTGAGTGACCTCACAAGCTGTATTGCCTTTATGAGCTGGTCTCAGAAATTACATATCGTTGTTTCTGCCACATTCTGTGTGTTAGAAACAAGCCTCTAAATCACAAGGTGGTGAATGAAGCTCTACTTTTTTAGAAAGGGATATCTAAGAATTTGTAGACATAGTTTTAGACCACCAAAGACGACTCCTCTGTCTTATCTAGTAGAAGACTGACAAGGAGGTCGTCGATTTTAGCAGAGTATGATAAATGCTATGCTGAGGATAAACACAGCAGTCCCACAGGACTGTGGGAGTAAAAGAGGAACTAAATTCAGCCTGGGAGATCAGAGAGGGCTTCCCAGAGGAGGTGACTCCTGAGCCTGAGTGAGAGGTTGAATATAAGTAGGCCAGATGAGGGTAGGGCAAGGTGTCTAGATAGAAGGAACATGTGAACAAGCCCAGAGTAACAGAAAACAAATTGTCCACAATGGAGGAACATGTGGGGAGTGAGAGGGGAGGGAATGAGAGATAGAGAATCAGGAAAAAAAATGAGCTGGGGATGGTGACACGAGAGACTAGAGAGGGAATCGGGGTCGATCTTGCAGGGACTGAGAGGCTGGGCTGAGGAGTTTTCATCTTCATAGCACTGGGGAGCCATTGATGGTTATTAAGCAGGGGGAGTGACATAATCATACTTTGAGTTTTGGAACAATCACTCTGCTGTGCAGAGAATGGAGAGGAGAAGGACAAGACTGAGGGGCTGGGAGACCAATCCAGGGGGGATGCTGGCAATCTCTACCAAATCACTGCCAGTGGGTTTGGATGCTGGAAATGGACATAAGAAGCGATGGGGGGGGGGGGGGCGGGTGGATGGGATAGGGTTTGATGATGGGTAGAATGTGGGTGGTGCCCAGATCCCTACCTTAGGCAGCTGGGTGGAGACTAATGTCTTTCACCAAGAGAGAGACCCTGGAGGGGAGGCCTGGCCTATGCTGGGAAGGCAAAGAATGCAGATTTGGACACAGTGAGCCTGGGCTACCTTGGAAATGGCCAGTGGAACCAACTAGAAGGCAGCTGTATCTACACATCTAGAATTTGGGAAAGAGGGGTGTAGGGCGTCTGAGCAAGGAGAGAGAAACCACACCCATGAAAGAGAATAGGATGTCTTTGGAAGCACAGAGAAGGATAGAAGGTGCAGGACAGAGCGCCCTGAGAAGGTGCATCCAGGAAGGCTTCCAGGCTCCCCTCCCTCCAACGGCCATGCTAGTCCTCGCCTTACCTTGTCCACCAAGGTGGTTGCAAAGATTGCTGGTTACAAGCAGAGACGGCACTGGGGAAGCTGTTTGGGAAAGTTGCAGCCCTGCAGATGTGTGCAATTAGACTTAGCAACACCACGAGCTGTCAGACCGTCTTCTGCGGAAAAGCACCCCTACTCTGTCCTCTCTGTACATCTCGGTGGTGGGGGATGGGGGAGGCATTTGCTGGCCCATCAGGATTCTCGACATCTATCACTTGGACCCCTTTAGACGTTGTCATTTGCCCTGATGAGTTTATGCCCAAATCTTTACCTCGTTAGAGACTGTAATCTGAAACCAAACTGCAATAATTAAGTTGGTATATTTTAGTATAAATTTAGCGAAAGGAAAAAGAATGTAATTAACAAAATGTACCAAAGTGGGTAATTGGTTTTCCACTGGAGTTTTAATCTTTAGCAGTTTATTTTTTTCTTCGTGTGAGTTTCTCTTGAAAGTTGGGTTTGAAAGGAAGTTTTAATGAGGCTTTTATTCCTGACACTGCTGAATTCTAAGGGACCTGGCTTCTTGTTGCTTGGGAACATCATGCTCAGGCAGGACTTAGAACAAAACTGGACTTTTAAAAGCATATTGAGCATCATGCTAAGGTTCTTGTGGGTGCTGTCTCATGGAATCTTCACAAGCATCCTTTGTGGCAGGGACCATTGCTGTTCCCAAATGACCGGCGAGGAAACAGGCTCCAGGTGGCTCAGTGACTTGCCATGTGGTCAGGGGTGGATCCGGAGTCCAACTTGGGACATCCCAACTTCAGAGTTGGAGCTTTTAGCCACGGGGATTTCAGAGTCATTTTACCACGAAAAGCCCTCTTTCCCTTAACTGTGAATCAAAGAGAATAAAACCGGGGAAGCTTTCTGAGGATTGAGCGAGAAAACACCTGTAAGGCATGCAGCACGGGGTCAAGCTCCTAATAGGCTCCCTTCCCCCTTTCACGTGAGCCCTTGCCTGCAATCTGCCTGTGCCTCCTTCCCCAGACCCCAACCATCAGCTGGAGGATTGCCCCCCGCCGACCCTGAATCCTTCACTGCCCCAATTAGGAAAGACTCTGGAACAGGATGGAGGGCAGGTTTCTCATAGCATAATGGCCAATGGTGCAATTCTACAGTCAGATCAACTAGATTCAGCTTCTGGCTTGCACCTCTTATTTGCTGTGTGACCCTGAGTAAGATATATAACCTTCCTGAGTCTCTGTCTCCTCTTCTGTGAAATGGCGATAATGATAGTGCTTCCTGTTTGAACACATAGGTCTTATTTTTGTTCAGGTGTGTTGATGGCAATAGATGGGGGAAACAACTGTCATTGAAGAGATGGCTTGTTATTCATGGTTTCCAAAGGAGGGGGCACATCATATCAAGCAGGGCCACACAGGGAAGCACCAGGGTCAGTGAGGAGGAAGATGTGGGCAAGAGCCTTTATTATGATTTACTTGGGGAGGAACTGGTGAGGCAGGGTAAGCAGGCTAGAATTGGCTAGTGTGACTAATTTAGCGGGCCCTGGAGTGCAAGATTGTCCCAGTAGGGCAGGGGAATATTGGCCCTGAGTGGAAGCCTGATGGAGGTGGGGGGGGGGGGGGGCTTTGGATTGGCTAGTTTGCATATGAAAGGCATACTCATGGGAGAGTCCCTTACCATCTTTAGGAATAAGCTTGCCCTTCTGAGAGCGGCAGTCCCTCCAGGGTCAGGGAGGCCCCCAGATGTCACATCAGCAAAAGGAAAAGGCATGCTTCCTATATGTCCCCCATAATCATTACAAATGTAGAGGGCTTCGCATAGTGTCTTAACACAAAGTCAAAACTCAGTCAGTGTTATTGATTATTACGATGACAACAGTAATCATCTAGCACCTTAACGTGGCAACTTCCTGAGCATCTAACGCAACACCCCAACACCCGGACATCACCGCTCTTTGCCCCGGAGGGATGAGGCTGGCAGGGGGAGAATATGCTGAGAAGTGGGACCCTAGAAATAGCTGGTTTGACACAGTCCTCTGATCAGTAAAGAGGATAGCAGAGTGCTTCGTGTTCTTTAAAGCAAATTTGCATAAATTATCTTAGATTAGAGGAAAGATCATTTCCTAGGATTGTTTCAGATATTTCCTGAGTTGGGAATTTTGTTCCCAGTGAGCTGAGACCTATTCCTATGATACAACGCAGCAATTCCCCAGCACCCAGTGAGTACCCCATGGCATCCGCCAATGTCCTCACTGCCACCCACACCCCCCCCCCCAGCAATTTTCCCGCACTATTCCATGAGCTAGTTTATATTTAGGAAACAAAACTATAAAAAAATCCTATCCTATCACCCAGAGTTAGCCATCGTTAACATTTTACTATTTCTTTTTTTCCTAATTTTTTAAGAGTAGGTACTACCTTATATACAGTCTTGTGTCCTGCTTTTTTTACTTAGAATTATATATTAAGCATTTTTTTCATGTGAGCAAAATTTCTTTGAAATGTTTTAATAATATCATATTCCATGTTGTTTTATGGAGTTACCATAATACATGCAACCTATTCCTTTTGTTGAACGTTTGTGTCGTTTCTCCTTGATTTGCTATTACATATGATGCTATAGAGAATATCTTTGTAAGGGGATTTTTGTATACCTAAGTATTTCCTTACAGTGGTTTCCTGGAAGTGTAAGTCTAGGGTCAGAAATCCTAGCCATGTTCCATTAAACTTCAAGGTGCTAGGTTTTGACTCGTTTTAATTCAGGCACCAGGGAAGGTATCCTGGGATAAACATGACTTCTAAGACATCAAGGAAGCTTTAGGTGTATCTCTGCTACCAAAACACAAGCCCTGTGAGGAAGAAACTAGGAAATAGAGGGCTGTGTGTGTGTGTGTGTGTGTGTGTGTGTGTGTTGAGATACAGGGTCAAGAGCGACATAGCATATCAACACCCCTTAACAACATCTGCCAACAGCACAATTTGGTATGAACTCCACGCCAGGGAGTGGCCTTTCAAGACCCAACCAGCAGAGGCAATCATCTGGCAAATGGGCACCGGCATGAAACCCAACCTCAGCCAGATCGGCATGGGAAAAGAAATCTCGGTAAGTCCTGGGTCAGTGCCAGCTCTTGGGAACAAAGAGAAAGGTAGATACGGTTCTGGACCTTCTTTTTCCTGTGTGTTAAGGTTATGAATGCTTCCCCAGAGGGTGACACAATAGCATGCCCACAGCCTTGTCAGATAGTGATTTGGAGCTTAGGAAGTGTAGTTTCTGAACTATGCCTGCAATTCAGGTTCCTGCCTCAAGGGTGCAGTAGCACTTGGCCAGATTTTTCCTAGCAATGAATTGCTGAAACAAGTAGAACCAGTGAATTCCTCTTTTACTGTTACTTTTAAAAGATATCCATTAAAATGCTACTCATATTAATGATTCTAATTTTATTTGTACCAACATAAAAAATTTTAAGGCATTATCCGACTCAGAACACTATACACAGAATCAGAGAAGCCTGAGTATAAATTCATAATCACCCTCTAAAACACAGCAGGAAGAGTCCCGTCTTTTGATCAGAAGGCAGATAAGTCAGGGGAGGAATAATAATCTGGTATGTTTCTAAGGATTACCTGTATCTAGGTTTCTTTTCTGAGGTGAGGTGATTATTAAAAGTAACTTTCTACTCTTTGACTTTGAAGAGCACTTATGGTATGGGGATGTGGATAGAGACCTCAGGATTCACTTTTCTCCCTTCCTTTGAGGAAATAAAAATGCCCAAGAAACTCCTCGGGGAGTATTATTGATTTTAGCATATTCTAGACCTCCTAGAATAGAAAGGACCTGCCTAGTTTGCTATATGGGTCATGAGTTGGATAAGTGGAAGAATGGATAGATAAAGAGTTGGATGGATGGAAAGATAGATAGATAGATAGATAGATAGATAGATAGATAGATAGATAGA